GGGCTTTAAGGTCCCTTCCCACCCAAACCATCCTGTGATTCTATGACCTTCTTCTCCTGTCTTGCCTTGGCAGTACTCCCCCAAAGCACACGCGTGGGTTCATCCAGAGGCAGCCAACATTTTTGGGGCACTGGATCTTGGAGGAGCATCCACTCAGATCAGCTTTATGCCTGAAGGTTCACTGAACTGGACTGAAGCCTCGCAGTTCACGCTGTACGGGTACAACTACAGCATCTACACACACAGCTACCTCTGCTACGGGCAGAACGAGATGCTGAAGCGACTGGCAAAGGAATTAATTGTGGTGAGAGAGGAATTGGGGGGTAATTGGACTCTGCTGTCATGATACCAACCACAGAGTTGTTGATGCATAAATCAAGAACAGGCAATGCTATTCCAGAGAGGCATCAGCAGGCAGTGAGAGTAGCTACATGCTCCCTGAAGTGTGGGTAGCAGACGTGGAGAGGAGCAGGGGAAGCATCAGAAGGGGCAGCTCAGGAGAGGTCTGCTGGGTGTACGCAGCTGCCTCACAGCAGGGTGTAGAAAAGGCAGGACCAGGCTCTTCTCGGAGGTACAAAGTGACAGAACAAGAGGCAACATGTGGAGCATGCGAGTTTCTGACCGGTTGCAAGAGAAAACTTTTTCCCAGTAGGGGTGGTCAAATATCAGAATAGAGCCCAGAAATGCTGTGGAGTCGCCATCCCTGGAGATACTCAGGACTTGACAGGACAAGGCTCTGAGCAACCTGATCTAGTTTGTCATGCTTTAAGGAGGGGCTTGGCACAGGCACCTCCGAACTTCAGCTACTCTGTGTTGAGTAGATCTTGAGGCGATCTTTCTTAGGCCATTTTTTGGAAGGTCAGAGGGGAAGAGGGTCTTCATGGGGCTACATCTTATCTGGTGGAGCAGTCTTGGCAAACCAGAAGGGTTTGCTCCTCATGCACAGTCAGGAAGGTCCCGGGTGGTGTCCCTGTCCCTGTCCCTGTCCCTGTCCCTGTCTGGGGCTGGAGCTAGAGATGGAGCTTGAGCTGGGGTGCAGAGAGCTTTACATGCCCCAGACCAGGATCCTGCTGGCCCTGGGAGAGATGTCCTGAAACTGGTCCATCTCAGTGGGAGAGGGAATGAGACAAAGCAGAGGAAGAATTAGTGTTGAGCTCAGGCTGGGACTGCAGATGGCCAACAAGAGCAGAGTCAAACAGCAGGAAGGATGTTCCCTGTTGAGGAGGTGGGAGATGCTGTGCCTGGCTTTGGGGGAGCACTGGGTGAGCCCCGCCGCCCAGCACACCCACCAAGAGGATTTGGAGGAGGCTGCAGCCTGCGATTTTGCTGTTCTCAGGAGTCTTCCTCCAGCACGCGAGTTGATCACCCGTGCTACCCAAAAAACTACAATGAAACCGTCTCGCTGTCTTCCTTCCGCACCAGCCCCTGCACTAACGCGAGTGACCCACGCCTGACTGTCAGCAACCGGAACGTCACCCTGCAGGGCAGGGGCAATGCCAGCGGGTGCTTGGCTGCTGTCAGGAAGCTGTTCAACTTCTCGGCGTGTGGCCAGAGCCAGGACTGCACCTTCGATGGTGTCTACCAGCCCCCCGTTCATGGGCAGTTCATTGTAAGGCAAATCCCATCCTCCCAATTCCCCAGCAGGGGATGTCCCCAGGCACTGGGGTGTCCCTGCGTGCCCCATGGCACTGTCACCTCCCCACAGCAGAACAGGGGCAAGAAGCACCCAAATTACCAAATGCCCCAGGGCACCCCAAGGATGGCTGCTGTCTGGGTTTCCAGCCAGCTCTCCAAGTGGGACCATGTTAATAAAACAGGTGCTTAGTTGAAAATCAAGATTTCAGTTAAAAAAAAAAAAAAAGCTCAGCCAGCAGCCTTCAGGCAAGGCTCTGCCTGCACTCGATGTGCTGCGGTGGCCAGCAGGCACCGGCACTCCCAGCCCATCACTCTGCTGGGACACAGACAGCAAACCTGGTGAAGAACAAACCTCATGTCCTGCTTCGAGGGAGATGGGGACAGCTGCCTGGGGGGTTTCCCCACTGTGTCTCAACAGCTTTTCTGCCTCTTGCCCTTCAGGCTTTCTCTGCCTTTTACTACAACTTCAAGTTTCTCAACCTGACCGAAGGGCAGTCACTGGATGCTGTCAAGGAGACCATCGAGGGCTTCTGCAGAAGAACCTGGGAAGATGTACGTTCCCCATGATGGAGGCTGTGAGGAAGCTTCACAAGCAAAGGGGCCCTGGGGTGGGGGAAGAGGAGCAGGAACAGCCGCAGGGCAGGGCTGGCTGGTTGCTGAGCTGTGCCCCACGCAGTGGAGCCATGCCCGAGCTCGGCAAGGGAGCCAGGACAGTCCTGCAGCCCCCCTTGGGGGCCCTCCTGCCTCCTGCAACATCGGGAAAGGGGCAACCAGGGCAGGTGAAGGCAGCAGAATCTCCTGACCAGCACTGGAGCTGGGGATGGAGCCCTGGAGGATGGCAAGGCGGGAGCCAGCTGCTGGAACCACTCTGGGGAGGAGGCAACTCGGGATGGATAAGGCCAAGAGAAGTGCTAGGACCAGCATGGGACAGAGAGCAGGAGCCCCTTGCACGAGGAGGCTGAGATGGGAATCTGGGGCAGGAGGAGCTCCAATATGTGTCTGTGTTTCCATGTGGAGAGTAAATCCTCCTCAAAGGAGGAGGACAGGTCTAAAATACCTACAGGACAAACCTGTGTGGACAGGTCTAAAATATCTTCATGGCCAGGTTGGACGAGGCTTTCAGCAACCTGGGCTATTGGGAGGTGTCCCTGCCCATGGCAGGGGGTGGAACTGGGTGATCTTTAAGGTCCCTTCTGACCCAAACCATTCCTATGATCTGCCTGGTCCAGGAGTCTTTTTCGGAATGCTGGTGGCTGTGGAGCCATCAACCCTCATATAGCAGTCATCAGGGCATTGTCCCTGCATGGAAGTTGCCTGCAAGTAACTTCCCTTCCTCCCCAAACATGTCCCCACCCCAGCTGTCTTCTAGCTACCCTGAAGAGAATGCTGAGCGACTGCCTAAATACTGCGCCAACGCCAACTACATCCTCACACTCCTCCTCGACGCCTACAAGTTCAACGAGACCAGCTGGAACAACATCTTCTTCCAGATGAAGGTAGGCAGCAAACCCAGCCTGGGGGCGGGAGTAGAGGCAGCTCTGGGGATCGAGGTGCCGTGAGAGCCACGGTGCAGAAAGCCCTGCCTGCCCCACATCCAGCATGGCACCAGGTGTGGGGCCAGCTGCTGCACCCGTTTGAGCCGTGCAGGAGTAGGTGGCCCTGCGTCATCTGTCTGGCTTTCCTGCAGGGCTAACTCATCATCCCCTCTCTCCTTGGGCAGGCGGGGAGCGCCAACGTCGGTTGGACACTGGGGTACATGCTGAACCTCACCAACATGATGCCAGCAGAGGCTCCAGTGTGGATAAAGGGGCATGTTCCTTCCCTGTGGGCTGCAGCAGTTGCCTTCATCATCCTTACCCTCACCTTGGGGCTTGCTGCCCTGCTCGTGCTCTTGTGGGTGTAGGAGCCCGGCTGTGTTTCGGAGCCCAGCAGGAGCAGGTTGGGGCTGGAGGGCTGTCTGCACTGCAGTGCCCTGCACTCCTGCCAGCAGGACTGGCATCCTAAGGTGGTTCAACGGGGCTGAGCACGTTAACCTCTACAGCACTGAAAAACCGAGGCGAGGTCTGGCCTCCCATGGGACTGTCCCCAACGTGCAGATAGGCACCACGTGAGTTTTCCAGAGGAGCTTTGCTCCTGTGGAGACCTGCTGGGATCAGTCTACGCTTCACAGGGACCCCAGCCACACCCATCTGCCTCCTTACGCCTCTGTGCCTGGAACAGATCTGGACTCCATCCCACTCTCTGGCACATGGGGCCATGGAGAGCCAGCCTGGCCATGGAAGAGCTCCCCGAGTGCCAGACTGTTAGTGCACAGCTGCAGGCACTTGTGACAGGGTGCTTCCTGAGATGTTGGGTCTGACCACAGTTACCAACAGCCAGGCAGGTCCCTGCTGGGTCTGCCAGCGTGAGGGCATGCAAGGCTCTGCTGCACCCCAGCTGGCCCTCCTGAGGGTGTATCGTCTGGCCTTACGTGATGGTCTTGGAGACAGAAGGTAAATAGAGCATCAAGTCAGAAGCATGGCCCATGCCTTCCAAGAGGGTCCATCCCATCCCATCCTGTCCCGTCCCATCCCATCAGTTCATCTTCTTCTCATCTTCCTTTTCTTCTGGGATGAAGGGATTGATGTTCCTGAGTGTCTTCCTGGAGACCAGACTGTCCCACCAGCAGAAGGCCTGGACATTGTGGGTGTCAGGCGGAGGCTCCAGCAGGCTGCGAGCCTTGCCCTGACCCTGTGCACACAGCTGAGCTGGGTCCTGCCCACAACTGCACCCTTGCCTTTGGCTCTGCTCATTTGTTATCTGCCCTGTGGATGATTCATCTTGTTATTCGCCTCCTGGCAGAAGGAGCTGGCCTTTGGTGTCTGTGCAGAAAGGCACCTCACAGTTCTCGTCATCCAAATAAAAATCATAAAAGCAAACAGTGAAATGCCTGTTACTTTGCTCCTGAGGAATTACGATTTTATCGTTTCTTTCTCGCAGGTAAGGGCTGGTGATGATGTCAGGGGACAGTCAACATCACATAGGGCTACAGGAGATGCCCCTGGGGACCTCGCAGCATCTACCAGACTCAGAGAGGAGCCAGCAGGGCACAGGGACAGGCCTTTTCCTCCTGAGACCGGAGCTGTCCTCACCTTACTCACCCAGTGGGACTCCCCAAAATGTAAGAGGGGCCCTGGGAGCTGCCCCCGGCATGTCCCAGCAGCGTTCCCAAATCGCCCTGTGAGCTGGAAAGTGAGGGTGAGATGTCTGCCAGGCACAGACATGGGGTGCAGCTGGACTGGAGAGGATCCTCGTTCAGGAGAGCAGGGGGCTGCTGCCATCCTCCTCCCAGGGCTTCCCTGAATCCCATCTCCCAGGGCAGCTTCCCCCCACAGTCCCAGTGTCCCTCGGCTGCTGGTGGCCATGGGCAATGCAGACCCATGCCCCGGGATGGGACAGGACACATCTGCCCCACGTAGGGTGTCTGCTGCAGGCTGTGACCACCCTCCTGATGATCCTGGTGCTGCCAGACACCACTTCTCTCTTCCCCAACCCACCATCTCCAGCCACCGCACACCACTGCGGTCCCCATGCCCCAGCGCTGAGCCCCTGCCCCACGTGGCCATACCCTCCCCCCTAGAGCATCTCCAGTCAGCAACAAGGGGAAAGGAAAGCCAGAGAGCACACAGCTACAGGGAGGATTTTTAAAAGCCTGTGCTGGTTCCAGCTCACCAGGCTGGGACACAGGTGCCCCACATTACATGTTCACAGCTCCTGGACACGTGAGGGCGATTCCCTGCTCTGCAGCTCCTTGTGCAAACACAGAAGCAGGATGAAGTGGCTT